TTCTTCAAACTCTTTTTCTTTAACTGGGTTCTGTTCTTTTTGGATTGCTTTATAAAGCAACTTCTTCTCCTTTTCCATCCATTTTCTTACCACATCATGCAATTCAGGGTCGTGGAGGAGCCAGAGCCTGTCCCGGCAAACAACAGGCGACAAGGCAGGATACACCCTGTATGGGAAGCCAGTCCAATGCAAGGCAGACAGACACAAACAGACATGCACGCGCACTCACACACTCACACCAAGGCCAGTTTTCTCAAAAGTCAAAGAGGAACTGCAATGCTACTTTTTTATTTCAGGGTTAGAAAGAATCAGTATTGATGAGGGCATTTCAAACCAAAACGAAAAGTAAAATGTACATAGTAACATGTAAAACCTTCAATTTACATCATAAAATAGACTAAATTTCCAGGTAGGTGCAGTGACATATCACTGCCAGTTTGAACAATTCAGAATGAGGCTACAAAACCTCCAGTGACGTGAAAAGGCTCTATTAAATTGTAAACAAGCAAGTTTGTGAATGTAACTCTTTTAATCCAATAGAAATATTGCTCACAACTTCAAGATGGTTTTGCCAACAATCACTACTTACCTGTTAACTCTGCATTCTGGATGTTGGAATATTTCTGAGGTGAAATCTCTGCTGTACAACCTGTACTTATTTCTACAGTGACTAGTGAGCAGAAAGGGCCCTCTTCAAGTCACAACTTGTGCAAACTTTCACTCTCACCCACAGCGAGACCAGGGGTGTATGACAACATGGTGACCATACAGTACTCTACTTGTACTTTGCTACATCTAAACTTCAATGGACACCATACCATGAATCCAGTTTCCTAATGGTTCTTCCCCATATATTTCTCTCACCTTAATAATTGTATGAAACAAATTCAAACAATACACACATTTTCTCTGGGTAAGAGATAACTGGGTGAGAAAGCATTCATTAGCCATTTACGTTTCAGCTGCTTGCATTCCCATTGGTTTTTCCTAGTTTATGTGAGGAAAGCTAAAATATCCCATGAAAGCCTCTTTTTCCTTCACACGTACAATATTGCGGAAAATTGTCATATAAGACTGAACTACAACTCATATCTGAATATTCCAATCTGCAGCACACTCTTTACACTATGCTTCTAATTTTTTTTTTTAGTGTGACCCATATGTATTCTGAGACCCTTGACATCTCAAATTTTAGATCCTGTGCACAAATACTTTTTCTATAGTGCTATTTCTCTTTCTCTTTCATCTTGTCTATTTCTTTGGAATGCTGTGTATCCTCTAATATTGTATTCAATTATTGTACAGTATGTTTCAGTGATTGCAATTACATCCTAATTGCATGCCAATGAAGTACTTTCTATTTCTTGCATTTTTTTAAGTATTAAATGGCATTTATGAAGTCATATCATTTAACTGAACAGTGTGGAACAGCAAGTACAGCTCTCTATGTGCTGCAACTGAAAGGCCATCGGTTCAGATCTCAAGTGGGTACTTCATTAGATTTGTTTATCAGAATTCCCAGCTGTATCAATATGTAAAAATGCAGTTTGTTCTAGATAAAAGAATCAGTAATACTATACACTCTTAAGATGTGCGCTCTTAATACTTCAAGAACATACACCACTTCTTATTTTAGGCTACATTCTCAATTTAACGCACTTTGGCAACTAGCCACAGACAACTTGGGAGGAGTGTTTGAGACAATACACGCTACTGTTACCAGGTGCCCACCGCAATGAATAGAGTCACTTGACTTGCACAGAAGCAACTGTTGTAGTCGCTGTCTCAGTGTCTTCCAGCTACTATTCATCAGCCAGTCTCACACTTACTTAATAAATAATAATTGCTTACACTTATATAGCCATTTTCTGGACACTCCACTCAAAGCGCTTTACAGTAATGGGGTCTCCCCTCCACCACCACCAATGTGCAGCATCTACCTGGATGATAAGACAGCAGCCATAGTGCGCCAGAACGCTCAACACACATCAGCTATCAGTGTGGGGGAGAGCAGAGTAATGAAGCCAATTCATAGATGTGGATTATTAGGAGGCCATGATTGGTAAGGGCCAATGGGAAATTTTGCCTGGATGTCACCCCTACTTTACACCCTGGGATTTTTAGTCACCGCAGAGAGTACCATCCAGGTACTGACCTGGCTCACACCTGCTGAGCTTCAGTGGGTTGCCAGTTGTGAGTTGCAGGGTGATATGGCTGCTCACAAAAAACAGTAAAATGTCCTTGCCATAGATTGCAAACATAAAAGTAATTAAGGTTCTGTGCGAACAAATCTTACAAGTAAAAATCAGGGCACAGTAAATAAAGCCTTGTTAATCAAAATCTTTAAAATCCTACCGGATGCGCTGAATAACTTCTATGCGCAATTTGAAGCACTAAATACAGTGCCTGCGGAAAACACCATAGCTCCTCCCAGTGATCAGGTGCTTTGCCTGTCCGCAGCTGATGTGAAGAAGACACTAGCAAAAGGTAACCCACGCTGTACCTAACAATTAACCTGGTTGCGTGCTCAAGGATTGTGCAGCACAGTTAGCTGATGTTTTTACAGACATTTTTAATATCTCCCTGTGCCAGGTGGTCATCCCTGTATGTTTCAAGACCACCACAATTATACCAGTGCCAAAAAAGACTACTGTGTCCTGTCTCAATGACTATCACCCCGTGGCACTCACACCAATTATCATGAAGTGCTTCGAAAGGCTAGTTACGGGCCACATTAAGTCCAGACTCCCTACCTCTCTGGACCCCCTCCGGTTTGCCTATCATCCCACCCGGTCTACAGATGATGCCTTATCCCTCGCCCTTCACCTTGCCCTGTCCCATCTGGATATGGGGGACACTTATGTAAGAATGCTGTTCACTGACTTCAGTTCAGCATTCAACACAATCATCCTCCAGAAACTGACTGAAAAACTGCAACTGGATTCTGGACTTTCTGACAGAGACCTCAGACAGTCCGGATTGATAACAACACTCTAGTACCACTTTATTGAACATCAGAACCCCCCAGGGCTGTGTGTTCAGCCCACTCATGTTTACACTGATAACTCATGACCACACTGCTAAGCACAGTGCAAATTACATCATCAAGTTTGCTGGTGGGCCTCATTAGTAACAAAGATGAGGCACCATACAGACAGGAGGTGGAGCAACCAGCAGACTGGTGCTTAAACAACAAGACAAAAGAGATGATAACGGACTTCAGGAGGGCCTCCGCTGATCACTCCGCACTGCACACTAACAGCTCCCCTGTGGAGACAGCTAGAAGTACTAAGTTTCATTGGTGTGCATATCACAGATGACCTCACTTGAACCATCAATACCACCTCCCTAGCTAAAAAACGTCTCCACTTCCTGCGGCGACTGAGAAGGGCAAAACTTCCTTCCCCCATACTATCCACATTCTATAGAGGTACCATCGAGAGCAACTTGACGAACTGTATCATTGTTTGGTTTGGGAATTGTAAGGTCTCAGACCGCAAGTCCCTGCAGCGAATTGTCAATACGGCAGGAAACATCATTGGAGCCTCACTGACGTCCATTCAGGACACATACCACAACCACGGCACACACAAAAGCCTCCAGTATTGTGGACGATCCCTCCCACCCCTCGTGCAACCTCTTTGCCATCTTACCATCTGGTATTGCAGTATATGGACCAGCTCCACCAGACTCCATAACAGATTTTTTCCACAGGCTGCCAGGCTCTTCAACATCCTGGTACCTACTGCACCTACTCCAAATCTACAAACTTAAGTTATTTTTTGCCTAATGTCAGGCATACTGTCTGATGTATTCTTGGACAATCCTGTAAAGTAAATTGCACTTAATGTACCCTGTCAGAAAATGTCTATATCAGCATTTTTCTATGGCATTGTCTTGTCTGTATTCCCACTGTAGACCTGTAGAAATATTATCTCGCTCCTCTGTATGCTTGCTAATGGCTGGAATAACAAATAAACGTGAACTTGAAAATTCAATATATAAATTACATTATTAAATAAGGCAATTAGTAATTGTAAAAAAATAATGGAAAAAAAACTTTAAAATCAACAGCAAAGAACAGACTCAGTAAGATCAAAATGACCATAGATGCTCCATCCATATGTATCTATGGGTACATGACTCCTGCTTTTTTCATAGTGTTTATCACCCACCACTTACCTTTATGTTTTTCATAAAATTGATAAACATTAACATATATTTAGTTTTAAAATAAAATTTTGTACAGCTATTTTAAAAAATGTAAGCATTTTACATGAACAAATATGTATACGTGTTTTTTATGTAGGATTTCAACCTTTTGGCTAGGAGTGCCACATAAATCAAGATCTACCTATGCTGGTCATTCAATATCCAACAGCACTGGTCCAATTAATGATACAGACCTCTTATGGGCTCAATTCTGCGGACTGAAATTTCCCCACAAATTAAACTCATTCCACTGTTCTAATTTGGAGCTGCTGATATAGAACAGACTGTAGTGTGTCACCAGTGAAAAGCACTTGGGTGGTACATGAATTCCCTACCTGAGGCAAAAGATCAGAATCCCCAAGACTGACAAAGCACTGTACAACATTTAAGGAGATACTGTATTATTATTACAACACTCAAGAAATATGAAGAAAAAATTCAACCTCAAAAGCATAAATATTCACTATGCTTTGCCAGGACCATCCAATATAGAATCTACCAGACAATGGAGGAAACTTTTTCATAAGGGATGTTGGAAAAAAAACAATAGAATTGTATATGGTCGCTCTAATACTAACAGGTCACAGGTCACATAAGTTTCAGGACATCACAGAAAGTATATATACAATATCCTAGCCGTTGATAGGCAGTCACACAACATTCACATCAAACTCAGCCCATTCCCATTTATGCAATTTAAAAAACATTTAAGAGTTATGTAGAAAAATGGAAACAGCATTGTTTTTTTCAACTGAATATAGAAATTTACTTATGGAGTTGGTACTTACGTTCCCAGAACTTCTTTGAAGTCATACATTTCTTTAATATCTGAAGTTTTCTTTTTCCAGGCATTTCCGTCATCACCCAAAGGCATCTTACTTGTGTTGCAATGAACAGCAGAAGAACTGTAGGCAAGCAGAGGGCAGACACTTTAGTGAGTGAGAAACACAATATTTACTGTGCTTCTTCCAAAAAAGCTTCTTAAATGCCAGCTAAGATTAATCAACACTGTCCTGTAACATGCATCATATACCCATAAGGAAGCGGTATTCACAAAGAAGAATGCCCCTTATCAAGTTGTGTGCTTTTGAATTCATTAGCATAACATTTGTACAGCAAGACTCACTTTATTATATACAAGTTATTGAAAATGACATACTGTCTTTCTTGCTAGTTTGGGAAAATGAGTCAAAATAAGTAGCAGATTAATTGGGGCAAATCAAACTGTCTTTAATATCCTGCTCCAAAGCAAAGAAAGCAAAGTGTATTATAGATTGTGCCTCTCAACTCCTCCACTGCAAGTTCACACTTCTCCCATCTGGGAGATGCCACTGTGTCACCAGGTCTTATACTAATAGACACAGGAACATTTTCATTTCCACTGTAATATCTCTTTCAAATAATGTATTGCAAATCTCTTCTCCCTTAACTTGCTGTAACACTGGTAGTTCTTGGTTGTTAAATTTTGCCTGTCATTGTGTTATGTTGGGAGAGTGCTATAAAACAAATTTCCTCAAAAGACAAAGAAGCATGAACTGAACTCCTGGAGGCCTTGTGTCAAAAAGTGCCACAGCCCTTATAAGGAATGCCTGAACACTACGTGATTCTGAAATAAGGCCATCATATGGAATGGCACTTTAAATTTGAGTGTCCTGACTATATAAGAAAGAAATTCAGGAAGTGTAAACAACAGCATTTGGACACGATAGTTTTCTGTAGAATAGAAAATACTTTAAAATACTTTATGTCCATTAAAAAGCACAAAAATGTTGCTGGAAAAATGTACATTAAAGCCAATTTTGATAAATTAGCTTCAAACACCTGAGGCAAACAAACAAAACTGTTTTTTACTGTGCTTCATCTGAGTGTGGTGAAGACTGTGCTTTGTCAGAGTATGGTAAGAATGTCTTCTTCTATCAAACCGTGTGCCTGGCCCACAAAGGAGTATCACTGTCCTTCAGGCTCTCCACCTAAATTCTTTCTCTCTCCTTTAAAAAGGGCATCTTTCTCTATCGGCAAAGAAGGCCTCAGCTCTTTTGACTTTTGAATAACACACATCTCATTACTCTCATTAGTGCTATTGTTGCACATCTTGAATATATTGGCATACATTTAGCATAGTCAGCACCTGAAAATAAACACATTGCCCAATTCTTTTCAAAACCTCCTTTTTTTAAATGATGTACATTGTACTGATCAGAAACAGCCTTACTTCTCTAGAGAAGAAAATACATCAGCAGCATTTTTAGAGACAGCCTGAATAGAGCATTTCATTTTGCTTTACGTACAAACTGCAAAACTTATGATAGTACCATGAGCCCTGAGACTCCTGCTTCTTTAGGGACTAAAAACCTCACTATTTATAGCAATACAATAGTAGTGTGCTTTGTCCACTATAATTTATAATAACATTAGAGAAAGAGCAACACTCTAAACACCACTGCAATATTCTGATAGATCACAGTCAGTTTTGGACTGATAGTTATTGGACTGTACGGTACTATGATCGTACTTGATGGAAAAAGTAATTACTTAGATACAGATACATACAGATATGAGGAAAGATACATACAAGCATTTGTTTATCTCTTTCAGATGTCATAAACTTAAGATTTGAAATACTATTTATATGCAGCATGTTTAACAGATAAGTCCAGGGATATCAATTACACAGTCTCTTTCCAAAAACACCATGTTTCTGCTGTGAATTCATAAGCCATCAATATAATTAATTTTATCTAGCTCATTTTCTTCAAAATTACTCCTTGCGTAGCTAGAGCAGAGCTGTATTTATGAGTTCAGTAGGTTTTCTTGTATGCCTACCTTCACTGTATCTCTCACTACACTGTGTAATTCACTTATGACTTATGTAAGTTGTCATGGATAAAGATGTCAAATAAATAACTAAACCAGTATATCCCCAAGCCTCTCCTGTCTCTCAGGTTAACTATCACAGGACAGCAATGGACATATACAGTGCCTTCAAAAGGTATTGGGACAGTAAAGTCTAATATGGGATTTTTACTATAAACTCTAATAATTATCATCTTATGTGAAGATGACTGATAGATACATTTTTGCTCATTATTTTCTATGTTAGTAATGTTAATTCATTTCTTGGGTTAATTAAAGAAATGGATAATGTTGAAATTCTTTTTATATTCCCTTAAACCTTTTTTTTACTTAGCAAAATTACTGGTACAATTGGCTGGCAGGCTAACAACTTGTGCCACTATGACTTCGGTGTTTAGAGTCCATATTAGAATGTTAAAAGGAAAACCAAAGAAGTTTGTTAAATACAAATGCAGTGATGAAACTGAAAAAAATAAACTTTAGCAGAATTACAGCATTGAAAGTGGATATACCACAATTGACATATTGCAAAATACAGGAGAAGAAATAAACCACAGCCAATTGGCTAAAACCAGGTCAGCCAAGAAATATACAGTACGTACAATACATTCTACTTGCAACTGATGACAAAAATTGATTAAAACAACAATCTACAGAGCACAAGATGAAGATATCAAAATCCACAATTCGCAAAAGACTGAGACAGCAAAATTACAAAGGCTATACTGCAAGATGTACTGTAAATCTCTCACCAGCACCAGGAACAGAAAAGACGGATTCTGATTTGTTCAGAAGTACAAGGATAAGAAAATCAGGAAAGGGTAAAGTGTAGAGAAATAAAGGGACTGCAAATGCTCCAAAGAACACCACCTCCATGCCAAGTATGGTGGAATAATGTCATGGACTCCACAGTATGGCTGCCTCTGCAACTTGTCTTTATTGATGATATAACCGATAATGGCAACAACAGAATCCATTCTAAGGTTTAGAGACATTTTGTTTGCTTATGTACACAAAATGGTTCCTTATTAATTGGACCTTGCTACACCATGTAGCATGACCCAAAACATACATCTAATGGAAACAGAAATGTAAAATTTTAGATTAGCTAGGACAAGATGCAGAAGCAAATTTCATTTGAAAAAACTGACGTCAGAGCACCCCAAGAATAGGCACGAATCCTGGCTACAGCAAGGGCCAGGCAACCTCAGATGTACACTAAGATTTTGGTGAGCAGGTTACAAACTTCACGCAGATATTGCCTCCAGGACATTTGCAGAATATTATTAACAATCAATGTAATTAACATTGATATTAGTCTCATGATCACAAAAACAAATTGCTTGACTAATAAACTTTTTTTTTTTACTTTGATGTCCCAATACTTACTTTTGGAGGGCACTGAATGCAGTCACACCTTTATATTTGCATTACTGGAGACACTGCCAAGGCAAAGGAACATCCTGTGTCATATGACAGAAGAATGTAACCTATCCTGTTAAATTTTAACTGTGAATCAATACAGGTGGCCTGTAAATTCCTACACTACAGTTTATTTACAGTTTGTAATGTAAACTGAAGAGTCTTAACTTCCGTATCACTCTCAGGAAGATGATCTTTCAGTTGTACTAGACACTGCTCATTTTAACTGACAATGCCAAGAGGGAAGGATACAGAAAGAAGACACCAGGTTGGTCAACCACTTGGTTACCAGGGTAGAGGGGTGTAGGGGGAGTCCCATTTACTTTTAACATTAATAACTAAATGAAGCTCTTGCAATATCCTCTCTCTCAAACACACAAACCCGGAAAAAATAACACTCACTCTGGGGCTTTTTTATGTAAAGTAAAGTTTTGTAAAGTTTTGTATTTTGCTTTGTTTGTTTGCCTTTGTTGGCAATTATCCATCCTGCATTTTAGTATGCCACTATTTTGCTGATATATTAAAATTAAATAATAGAAAAAGATTAAAAATGCATAGAAAGTACAAATAAAGTGATGTTATCATCCACATTCTAACAGGTTCAAAAGAGAAACTAATACAGTGACAGTGTCTTGAGAAAAAGAAGTCTATGATCAGAAAATCTATCATAAGATTTTAATAACACAGCCAATTAACTTTGGCAAAAATATATACATATATTTAGCCATATCAAGGATATGATCTCACTTATGAGTTTATAACAATTCATTTTTTTTCCCCATACATATATTAAATCAAATCTAAGGATCATTAAAACTACAAATGAAACTGTCTGTCTGCTGTAGCTTTAGAGTTCCCACATTCAGGATAAAGAAAACGGAACTGCATGCCTGAACTTCTGCTGTACTCACAGACAACATCTTTTCATTCAGTTCTAACAAATCAACAAAACACAACAAAAAGCAGAGTTATTGAACAAGTTTTAAAGGATGACCAGGCTGTCAGTTCTTGCACTAGCAAAAATAAATTTAGGTGTTTTTGTATCAAGTTTCTGCAAATATATACATAGGCAAGTGTGATTCAAACAAATATCAGTCTCTAGCCAAGACTAGGTTTTTCTTCAGCTGAACGTCATGCCTATAAATTGAAAGTTACTTGGGGAGCGGTTGAGGGCTAAGCAGTACAGTCACATTGGAAAGCACATACTAGATTTAAGTATACCCCCAATTAAATTTTGACAAAAACTATCCTATAAAATAATAATCGAAAGATTTGATAATGTATAGGTTATTATCAGTTTTATTGCTTAGAACCATCATAAAAATGTTATACTGGACAGACTATTCCTCAACATTTGTCCCTTCTGTGACCATGTTTTGCCTATTTCAGATTTGGGAATGTTTCTGGTATTTATTAAATTTGTTTGTTAATATATTTTGTTGCATTTTCAATTGACAATTTTCAACTACAATAATCAGGGCAGCATGTGAAGATACAATTGTTATAATTAGTTGTTTCTATAAAACACAGTGTTCCACTTTTTTACAACTCTAAAGTATTCCTTTAAGCAAAATCCAACAAGAACAAATCAACAATAACAATCTGCTCTTTGTAAACGTTTTAGTACTAG